TATCTTTAACAAATATTAGCCACTTAGATTAAATATACTAAATGTTTTGTCTCAATAAGTATGATAGAGAAGACATATATTGAAGCAAAAATTATAGATGCTTTACCATCTCGGTCCTCTGCAATAAACGAAGTCTATTAATGAGGGCAGAAAAATTGATGGCTTGTTATCTCTGAATTGCAGGCTATCAAAAAAGAACTTGTTTCTATGCAATCAGCTCTAAATATAAAATATAAGGTAAATGTGGGTATTATGACGAAATTAACAGTTCTCTTTAACGAAAATGTTTACTTCTTTTAAATTTTAATTTATATAGCCTCTAACTCGCTTAATAATGACAGAAAAACTATAATTTATATTAAAGTTCTTTACAAAACTTAATTCAATGAGTTTATTGTGATAAAGTGAATATAAATTCATAATAAATGTAGCAATCCCTTTTACCTATGCGTTATTTCATCACATAGTGATCAGAATCGCATCAAATACCACCATTCGTTTCGTCATGATTAGACGAATCGATATAAGTATTTTCGACTAAGTAATGAGATATCGCTAAATCGGTCGTTAATTTATATTAAAATCGCACAAATATACCACCATTCGATTCGCCTAATTATGGCGAATTTAATAGTGGAATTTTTGAGCTGATTGCGATCATTGATATCCTTACTTCGTCACAATACCCTCATTTGCTATAACATCTCCCCTTTACATTAGTCAGGCAAAAAAAAGTGATGGGTCATGTGATTTCGACCTGTTCGGTACTCGGGTACTGAGAAAATAAAAGTGACGGCAGTAACGGGAATTTCATAAATATAAAGAGGTTTATCGAGTACTTGAACACCACCAAATTGGTGCTGTTTAATAAAAAAGAAAAATTAAGAAAGAAATCATAATATTTTATTTTTAATTTAAATAAGACACCAACAGTGGCTAGCTCTTCATTTTAAACATTTATTAAAAAGTTTAGATAAATACATGGGAAAGATTTAGTCAAAGAAATTGGATAACTTCACCGAAAGCAATCTTTCTTCAAAAATTAACATACAAAATGTCAAAGTATGCAATGAAAACTTCGGTATGCGAGCTTTATTTCAAAAATAATATCGTTATATGTGAACACGCTTTTCTTATAATTGAAACAGCCGATATTTTACATCTATTACCTAAAAGTATTTTCGAACGCCTTATTTTACTTTTCTCCTTTTCGTTATTTTCTCAGGGTCTTCCAACATACCAGAAGAAATTCCGAATTCTGAATTCACGTTAGTCAAACCGGTTTCTTTATGTATACATGTACTTTAATTGTGTTTGTATGCACGGTACAATCTGTTACAACTCCACAATGCATTGATCAACCAGGCATGAATGGTAACGGAATGAACCGTGACTAAATACCATATACATGTATACAGTATTTTTTCTAACAATAAAATTTTAATGTAATCGATCCATAAATTTCAACTTTTGAATTAATTTATATAAAATCTCACTACGTCACGCAGAAATCTATTGCCTAAAAACAAATAATTAATATTTATATAAATATCGTATGATCTAATCTTTTTAATAGATGATAAAGAAAGGTAGTAATCTATACTTCAATAAGATACCTTTTTGTGATAAAATGGCATTTTTTACCCTTATGGTCGTATTCAATAGGCTTTTTTTTTAAAATATTTTTATGTGGCTGTTGTTCATAAATAACAGTGTTACTTCAAGTTTGTGTATTTATTTAAGAATCGTCGAGAATACGCAGAGTAAACTAGTTAAAATTTAATCAATGCATTATTAAAATCATAAAAAAATTCTAAATTTAGCAGGACCCTTCCAAAAGAACCTCCCAATAAAAATTAAAAACATTTTCGAACATGCTATCACTATCTTAATTAATTGGCTACAATTCATTGTATAAAGATTAATCCAATAAATAATCTCTCTTATTGCAATGTTGATAATCTTTAAATAAGAGGTTAATCGTGAAGATTTCATCTTGTCTTACGTTAATACATGCATTACATATTGACAATCTCCCCATTATACTGTAAAATCTAATCCTGCAATAAACATTTGAAAAAATCGTGGGAAAAGAACAATGTAGACATAGCGTATCTGCATGTGGCGGAAAAAAAATACGATTCACAAATCTAACGCTAATAATGATAATTCATTGCGAAATTTTCTTTTGAGCTAATTGATTGAATGTGGATATTTTAAATCACAATAGCATGCAAGATAATTAAGAATAATGCCTTTGTATTTGTTTACACAGACAATAATCTTTTTTTTTTTTTGATTGATTTGATCAGTTTTTAGCTTGAGATTGGGGATTGTTATATTTAAAACAGAATAGAGATTTAACCTTAATTGAAATATCCTTATCCTAAGATAACAAATAATCCTCACAGTCTTTTGTTTCAATGCTGATTTGGTAAAATTAATATAGACGTTCGTTCGATAAACCAGAAGCAAAACTTGGGGTTTGTTATGCATACTTACAAAGTACAATAATCGAACTTAAATTACCAATTATCACAATATTTGTTTAATTTATTTCCGAAAATGGTTCGAGCAATCTAAACAAAATCAAGCCACGATATTTTCTATTTTTATTTTTTAAAATGTTCTCGTTAAACCGGACATTACAAATAATAGTTATGAACTGATGGTATAGTGCAACAAGAAGAATAGTTTCTGGCGTATATATTGCATTACATCGCATAATAACAAAAAAACAAGAAAATCTTCATTTGAGACTCTAAATTTTCTATTACATGTACATGTATTCTTCATAATATAAGTAGCAATTCAACAAGATGACAAAGACAAAGAGACAATCAATATGACTCTTATCGAAACTGAACATTTAAAATCCGATTGTGGAACCGTGTTGTTATAAGCCGGCTTATTGTCGTTATTGATCTTTTGGCTTCTCAAAGCTAGCTCATCCAAAAGAGAAATGGGACTAACTCAAATATGACGTTATGACTGCAAATTCTTGTTATTTACTTGCATTTGTTTAGTGAAGACCAAGTCCTGAAGAGTTCTGATTTTGTAATATTAGCTCGTCAAAATTTACTACAATATATCGTATAACGAATGAAAGCTTCTCCATTAAAGAGAAAATTTCCTCAAAGCTAAGGGATTGGACTCGATGAAAAATCACGGGTATTATCAGATTACCCGCGTTACTCGTATATATGTGTATTTAGGTTAACCTTTTTTTTACCCGGATCCAATCTATTCAAAACAAACTATCAATTTAATCCAATTAGGAAACAAAAAAAACTGATATTTACGAGCCACAACAAATTCATGCAATGTGCTCAAAAATATATTTATGTTATTATTATTATTGAGTTGTCACTTTTTCCTAACGATATATATTCATTGATTCGAGGTCTGTGCGTGTATATATAGTGCACAAAAGTAAAGTTTTTCTCTCGCATTTTTGCCCAAACTACCCACCCCTTGATCTCTAAGGCGTTAATTTATTGCGTTAGTTTCTAAATTTGGATAAGAAAAAATGATGTGTGGAAAATTTTCATGTTTTTTTACCATTGAAGAAAATTTGATGTTCTCAGTGTTCTCAAGAACATTACAATATTTTTGAGAACACGATATTTAAAAATTATGTTCTTAACTGAGAACATAAAATTTGTAAATTTACTTATAATGAGAACATTAAAATTTTTGTTCTTTGAGAGCCTAAAAAATTATAATTTATGTTCTCAAATAACAAAAAAAAATTTTTCAGATATTCTTCATTGTTTTTTAACCACTAGCTGTTAATCAAATCTCCAGATTTTCTAGGCGTGATTTTTCTACCATAATTTTAACATTCGCAATGTTTTCGAAAAAATTGTATCATCGGGCACCCTTGATTCTAATAAGATTATGATAATGTACAAGGGAACATAACAAAAAATATGCAGAGATTTTATTGGGACCAATAAAAAAAAATGAGGAAAAATGATTTCCGGATCGTATACTTTGACATGTTTCATTTCCTCGATACACGTTTTTTCCTATCTTGCATATATCTAATACAGCACAAATAAATATGTGTGGCTGGGTTACAATATACCAGCACCATTCCCTCTGGGTAATAGAGAAATGGAGTTAACCAAACTGCGCAATTACGGATGATATTTTTCCATATGTATAAGACAAATAATGGTGGACAAAAAAGAAAATCGTTCACTATTTTATACTCACTTTCGCGAGAATCAAACTATATGACGTTATCGCTTTGATTGTTGCGTGATCAGCGATTGGTCGGTTTTTATGTGATATTTTGAATATGTACGCAAATGTTGGTTTACATGTACACGTATTTCATTCAAGTTTATTATGATTGACAGGTGCATTTATTATTGAAGCACAAGGAAGGGGATTGTTACCGTTACGTTTTATTTATTTACTGATTATGTTATACGTGTAATAAACTATTTTAATATAGCGGAAAATGAAATATATTGATATCGATATGATGCAACTTTTCTTTCGTGAGTGGTAAATAGAAAAAGATAAATAGAAAAAGATTTGTTTGATTGCTACTATTCTACGTATGCTTTAGGTAACTCGATTTGTATTTGTGTAGCTTAGGAAAATTCACGGATATTCTCTATTTGATTATGGATCCACCGAATTTTTTTATAAAAACCCACCCACAAAAGAAAGGCTAATTATAAATTCTCTGGTCTGTAAGTCTCTAAATTTTTATAAGAGAATTTCATTAACGACCCTTTTCTATAATTAATTTAAAAATGGGATTTTGGTCTTTACTATTTGTCGTCTCACAGGTTGGTTGGCGAACGGGTCGTTTTTGCTTTATTTTTTGATGACTTTTTATAAACAAGTCTTGTTTTCTTCCGCTAGTCATGTGCGCAGATATTGCTTATGTGTGCGACAGGGTATATTTGTGCTTATAAGGGCATAATAAATCCAACTGTGCAAAAGGTAAAATTTTGATTCAAATCGATTCTTACGCCGCTATTAATCAATCAGCTAACTAATAACAACCTATTGTCGTTGACAGGGTATATCAGCATTGTCAGTTGCAATTCTGACGCCATGTTATCTTTTCTCACAAATCGCACTCGCAATTGATATCGAGATGCTTGTTCGTCTTTGGCCAATAGCAGCATTCTTGAGTTTATACGTTGTGGTAGGCACAATGCTTGGACTGCTCGGTGGAAAAATTCTACGAGTCTCTAAACCGGAAACTAACTTCATCATAGTCGCGATTGTTTTCAATAATCTAACGAGCATTAACGTGAGTCTGCTGAAAAATTTGCAAGATACCCCAGCTATACAATATTTTCTAATCGACGAGGATGATACCCCAGTTGATGCAGTAAGACGCGGTATTTCGTTCGCTTTATTGGCCACTCTTCTCAGTAATTTTCTTCGGTGAGTTTTCTTCTTTTCGTTCGATTCGAAAAACTTTATTCTCTGCCAAAGAAAATATTTTGATTTATCGCCTGTCATTCTAGTTGGTCGTATGGCACTTATTTACTAAGAAAAGGGAACGATCCACATGTTGAAGCGGAAGAAGCAATATCAACACCAACATCAACAACAATATCAACAACACAAATTCCCACCGAAAATACCCCACTATTTCCTGAAAAAGAAAGGAAACCAATTTTGGCTAAGTTAATAAATAAAATTTTGACGATCGTAAAAGCTACACGCAAAATGATGAATCCACCTCTCTACGCTGCGATCGGTGCCTTAATTGTTGGCACAATACCGACATTAAAAAGTCAATTCTTTGGTTCAAATGCGATCCTTTATCCGACAGTCACCACAACAATGATTAATCTTGGAAATCTCATGATTCCAGTAACGCTTCTGCTACTCGGCACACAACTCTACAACAATCAACCAACGAGGAAAAATAGCGAATTTTTCCCGACGATCGGTTGGGTCGCTTTGTCACGATTCTTGCTTGTCCCTTTGTTGGGAATTCCATTGGTCTATTTCACTAGATCATGGTATAATTATTATGACCCAATGCTTTGGTTTGTGTTGATGTTGCTCTCCACCAACCCAACCGCGATTAACTGCGTTAATATCACACATTTGACTGGGACATTCGAAGAGGAAATGTCTACACTATTATTCTATACTTATCTTATCACGGCGCCAATATTGTCCTTTATGGTAATGCTTATGATTGTACTCATCGAAAACGCGAAATTATCCTAGGTCATACATGTCAAACATAAAAGAACACTCCATTTATTCACACAGATTAGATAGATAGAATCTTGAACATTGTGACCATTTTTTTCTTAAAATTTTCCTGTTTTACACTTTCCATTGTAACTCCAATTTGTATGACACAATAAAACTGTTTGTTTATAAATTCAAAACTCAGAGAAAATTTAGAACTCTTGGGAAAACTATAATTTCTTGGCGTCATTTTTTATTTAGTGTTTCCATCAACATAAAAGATCTTTTTCTCGGTCCGAAGCGTTGAGATTTTTTCGCAGGCGTTTTTTCCTGTTTGCATGCATGCTAACGTTAGCTAGATAGTTTGATTTCACACAACCCTTCACCGCTACATAAATCTTCACGTGGTAAACGATGTTTAAAAGAGTTTTTCAAGCATGCTTATATATCGCATAAAGAAAAAAATATGGTTATTTTTTGATGGCGTTATGCATCAATGAAATTATACTTGTCTGACTAGCTGTTATAGTACATGTTATTTAAAAGATAAGCTGTGCATGCATATTGTATACATCGGTGGAACAATCATTTCCTGATTCCTGTGTGAAAGTTTTACGGTTTTTATAATGTAGATAATGAGTACTCGCGAACTCGGGAACTTTGCTCACAACACTCTTCAACGCATTAGTTTTTGAAACGTGTGCGAAACGATATTATACAAAGGGAGAAAAAGCGGCGTGAGCAACTACTCTGGAGAGATGTAATATCGCTCTTGCCGTATATAATAAGAATGATTTATAAAAAAAGCGAAATTATATGAAAATATTCTTTATTATCTAGAGAACAAGTTTATTTAGATAGGATTGCTTATATTTTCAAAATATTTTATTAGTTAAAATTAGAAAGTCGTTTATTTAAAAAATATCTAATTATAAAAATTTTTATTAAGCAAATATATATATAAATTTTTGATTAATCTTTATTAAAAATATTTTTATTGAATTTGTATAATTTATAATAAAATAATAATAATAAGATATTTATTTATTATAAAAATAAAAAATAATCAAAATTTTATGAGAATTAAAAAATATTATTCTTTGTACAGTGCGGGCCACTTAAAGACTGAAATAAAATTGCTAGATTTTAAACTATAATAGAATAATATACAAAAATAGTAAAAAAAAATAAAGCCGTTATTTTGAAGCTAAGACAATTTACTACTAATTGTCGGCTTTTTTTTTAGAAAAAAATTTTTTTTTGCTAACTTATTTTGGTTTAAAAATGGCTAACTTTAATAGTAAATTAGA